AGAGACTGAACGATCTTGTTTTTCTCTGATTATAAATCACTGTATAAGAGAAAACCTGCATTTAACAAACTGCAGGAAGATGATCTCAGGAAGCTGAGGAAGCCCTTCAAGGTTTTTTTGAGGCTACACACTGGGATGCACTGTATCAGCTACTTGGAGAGGACATCAATGCAATGACTGAGTGTGTGACTGACTACATAAATTTCTTTGTAGATAACAACATCCCTACCAAAACAGCGAAATGCTACGCAAATTACAAACCATGGATCACAAGTGATCTGAAGCAACTGCTTAAGAAGAAAAAAACAAGCCTTTAAGAAGTGAGACTGGGAATTAATGAATCAGAATCAGACTGAAGAGTATACAGATGCAACTTATAGTCAAGATAAGAAAAATAAGCAAGGCATACAGTAGTAGACCGGAAATCAAGCTCCAGCAGAGCAGTATCAGACATGTGTGGTCAGGAATGGGCTCAGGATCCTTCTCTCCTAGTCCACAGTCATATGGACATCCTGACATTTGATCAGTTTGAATTCAGTCATAGTGCGGATTGGACGAATCCTCATTATGCTGTAGACAAATGTGGCCTTCTTTTTGCCCATTTTGAAGGATGGGAGTATTCTATATAGCCCTGGGGGATTCATTGCGAGTCCAAGAAAGCCTTCTGCTTCATGCTCGGAGGAAAAAGGTACTTGACGCCGAACATTGGTGAATATTGGAAGTGTACAGTATTTTCACGACCATAAGGCGCACCGTACTAAAAGGCACAGTCTCAGTTATCGGGTTTTATATACAGTGACATATCCTCTAATACGTTTAAATACCTCTACTGCGTATTTAAAAACAGAGCGGAAGGAAAACTGAGTGTGTTTGTCCTTTATTCATGTATTTATTACAAAGTATTAATCAAACCCATTGAAGTCATCATCCTCTGTTTCTGAATTAAACAGCTGTGCTAAATCAGACATGCCAATTTCCCCTTCTTCGCTGTCTGTTGGGATCCTCAGGCTTGCCCACCAGAGGGCGCAGAGGATCCTCTTTTGCTCTCTTTGTCTTTTGTTAGGTTCTGGAGATTACCCTCTGCCTCCAACAGAGTGCGCCGTGGGTCCTCCTGAGCTGAGCCTCCCACACACCTGTGGCTGATCTACTCATCAGGAGGACCACAGTATTTAAGCTGCCTTCAGACCTTGATTCCACGCCGCAGTGTTGATTTTAGTTGGTTAGCTTCTTGAACCTTCTGCTATAGACTGAGTCTTGGTTGTTCCTAGNAAGTCTCATAACTCATCAGTCCCTGCGCTAACTGAACTATCATCCCTGCAGACTCCAGTGAACCTGCCCCCAGGCCTGAACCAGTTCCAGTTGCAATATTCATTTGCTTGCGTGACAAACCTTAAACTTTTCATCAGCTTCCGTTTGTGTTGTGCATATTGGGCTTACTCAGTTAGCAATCATGACAAACTTCCTCATTGTTGCTCCTAGAAATGGCAAGTGCACGGAGGAGGAGTCACATTGTGTTATGTGTACTGTATTATTCAGATTTTATGGAAAGTTTTTTAAATTTGTTATCATTGAAGTTTTCGGGGGGGTTACTAAATCTTTTTTCAGTCAGGCTTTGGTGTTGTTGGTTTTTTTTATTTTATTCCATCCACACTTCTACTACTGCTTTGTATATATGAGTGAAAAGATGACTTGTTAGGAATAATAGAGTCAAGATTTAAATGTATGTTTTTCTAAAGCTTTACCATCAATGGCCTGTGTCTTTGAACTAGTTCTAAACAACTCATTTGAGAAATTTGTATAGCATTAAAATAATTGGGAATAAGAGGTGCCTACAGTTAAAACTGAAGAACCATAGAGACGGTTTCATGACATAAAATTAGAAAAATCAAGTTAAAAATAAAAGGATCAGCACTTTCAGTTCCTCATCACCTTTAATGTGTTGTTTACAATATTCCTTTCATACAAAAAAAAATGCAAGCTAAGGATATAACCATACCGTAGATATGATTGGTCAGATGTCTCATCTGATCATATCTCATGCAACGCACCAGTGTGGTTATGTCAGTACGGAGAGCAGACCACTTCCTTAGGACATCATTATTGGAGCTGAAAAGGTACGTGGCCTGCTACTTTTTCTAAACTATTGTGGTAAAAGTGAAGATAATTGGAAAACACAAGTATAATTTGTATGAGAGATATATCAAGTTTTAAAATTGTCCTTTTTATTTGACCTCAAACTCAAATTTAATTGACACAGGAAAATATTAGGTAAGTTCTAGTAGTAGAAGTAAGTTGGTACACAAGATGTGAAAAAACTATTACCGTATGTTAATACTGAACATGTGAAGGTATTTTAAGTCACCGTTTTTTCTTCACATTTAAAATTCTTTTACACACACAAAATATCTAAATTAAGATTATTGATTACAGTTAGTTCTTGTGAAAGGCATTCTCTAAGCAAGCTAACTTTTTTCA